GGGGGGGGGGGGGAGACAAAGACGCCAACATGTGTATGTGAACAGTAATACTTTAGTTTGTGAGATTAAGTATAGTGTTATTTCTACGTTAATTAACTAGGAAATTTTAACTGACCTCATGCTTGTTTCATACGTCCAATTTAATTCGTCATTAAATTCGCCAATTGGTCGACATTAAAAGACTTAAAATGGTTTCGTTGCAAACTGACGAATTTAATTCAGACGAATTCACTTCATGATTGGAGATTATGGATTACCCAGAAATAAATACAACGGAATCAGAAAGACAGAAACAGATTTTAACATAATTTATGCATTTAATTTGACACGACGATACGACGTCGTATGAAACGAAGACGCGCGCTACAGACGTTGTATCCGTCTGACCATGACGAATAAAACGTCTTGGACGAATTTAATTCGTTTCATACGATGCACTACCGTCGCATTATAATTCGTTCAATTTGAAATTTGTCTGAATTTAATTCGACGATAGTGCGACGTATGAAACAGGCCTTACAACTGAACAATGCTGTAACAACATTGTTGACAACTTGTTCTGAGGTTGCACAGCAAAACCTTATTGAAGCCTGTCCGTATCTTGACCGGAAACACGTCGTTTGTTTTTACGCGTGTGATTTTGACTCTGGGGAACATTGTTGAGAAAACATGTGAAAATCTTCATCAGTTTCCTCATATCTTTCCCAGCTTGGAAATAGTCGGTTTCGAAAGCATTTGAAAATCTTCAATGTTCTTGCAAAGTTGCGACTATTGAACAAGGGAGAGAGAGGGGGGGGACGAATTCGAAGGTCTTCAAAATAATAGGTCTTCAAAATAATACGTATAGTTTGGGATTTGTCCCAACCCGTTCAAATCTGTCCCAACACGTGAAAATTATTGTAGATGTCAATTTGTGTTTGAGCTACTAGAAGAAGATTGAAATTACTTCGTTGTCAAATGGAGAACCTATTATTAATTAAACCTCTGCACAAAAGGCCTTGGCTTAGTCGCTTAGAAGACAAATTAGTTGTTTTAATCTATTTCGGGTCATTCACTAAATTCAGACACACTAGATACAAACCACGATAGAAAGAAAGCTTCCGTTTGATATATTCCGTTTGACTATAGAGACCTTAAGCCCGCCGCACACGAGAGCAACAACTCGCGAGGTAGCTAGCTCGGCTATGTATTTTCACCGCACACGTTGGGAAAACTACTCAACAACAACATAATTGACAAAATCATTTGCATTTTCCTCCATTTTGTTCCAAGTCACATGAAGTAATCGTGGTTTGTCATTGGCTAATTGATTCAAACAGCTCAGCACTTAGCTCACAACATCCGCATGCAGACGCTGAGATTTTTTCCTCGCGAGGCGAAAAATATCAAACGCGATAGATATTTTCCTCATGGCCTCGAGAGGTTAAATCCTCGCGAAAACTGTCCGCACACGAGAGCAACTTGCTGAGCTAATCGCCTCGCGAGGCGGTTAGCTCAGCAAGTTGCTCTCGTGTGCGGCGGGCATAACGAAGGGATTCGCTCCAAACGTCGAAGCTCTCGTTGTATTTTTCAGGTAGTTGCATGAATGAATCAGAATGAATGAATACATGACAACAATACAACTGGAAAACCTGTGGCCCTCAAATACAATATATACAAAGTTTTTAATTCTACTTTAAAACGTCTAAATTAGACTAAAAGCTACTTGGAGTAAGAAAAATCATATATAAAAGATCTAGTTAGGATTTTAAATTCATATATAGAAATTATACAATTTACTGATCACAATAATAATTCAAAGCTATCGATACCCTTATATGATTCTTAAGGGCAAACTTAAGGAATTAACGTCTATCAATCCGAGGCTTTGATTTCTTTTAATTGACACTACCTACACTGGACCAGATTCAAGGCAAACCTCGATCATCAGTTTTATCCGCAAATATAGTCAGGATTCAGAACATTGAAAAATATTTAAATTGAAGATTGGATAAATTTATTTCATCTTTGGCGACTCTGCGACTGTGTCGCTTTATCTACTGCGACTGTTAAAAATTTCATTAGCGAAATTGCGATAACCATATTTTATTTTTTTGAGATAGAGCGCCTTTGCCTCTGTTGCGATATCAGTTTTAGTTAAGAATTTTAGCTCATTTTAAGGCCAAGGTTGGAAAAAAATAGTAAAAAGCTAAAAATTGTTAGATGCAATAATTTAACTATCCTGAACAATATACTAAAAGTCCCCATGTATCCTCTTGTAGCTTTTTCCATTATGACAAGGTTTTTTCGATTTCCCTATTACTCCCATATTGTTAAAAAACGTGAAATTTCAAGTTCACTCGTAACAAAAATGACTCGCATCACTAGAAAGCTCATAAAAAAACTACATATAAGACATTTTTTAAACAGTCACCTAAATTTTTCAAGCGGTTTTCGAGTTATTGCTGTTCCAAATGTGACAAATAGGCCAAAATCTGGCAAAAATCCTGGGTACTAGTCTAACAACACGTTTCCAACAGCTCATAACTCAAGAAGAACTTGCAAAATCAAGGTAGCCGTTAAATGTCTTATATGTAGTTTTTTGTAAGTTTTCTAATGATGTAACTTATTTTTCCTATAAATGAATCTGAAATTTCACTTTATTAACAACATAGGCATAGCAGTTCACTAGGGAAATCGAACAAAAAACTTTTCATAATGGAGAAAGTCCAAGAGGATACATGAGGACTTTTAGTATGTTATCAAGGTTGCTGAAGAGAGTGCATACGCTAATGTTTGGCTTTTTACTAATTTGTTCAGACCTATTTTCTATTTTGATTGTACTATTTGGTGTCATCTCCTTGAAATTCGAGTACCTGCTTGAGCTGCGTAGTTGAATAATTATTGCAGGAATGCAGTTTCGTTTTCACGAAACAAAAGAGTGCTTTTGAAGCAGGAAACCACGCTTGTCCATTTTGAAACGTTTTCTCGAGCAAATCCAGCGTAAAAGTTAAGCAGAATTTGTCAAGATGGTGATGTCTAGAAGTACAGCAGTTGGGTCGATAGTAACAGGCTCTATCATGCTCGGTTTTGCAATTCTTGCCGTGATATGTGGCGCAATTTCAGCCAGTAAGCTGTCTGGCGAGGTTGCAGCCTCGGCTGGTCTGTGGTCGCTCTATGTAAGTATTAAGCCTTGTTCATGCCTAAAACTTACGCCTAAAACTTACGTAGCCCATGTTGTTTAGAGCTCGAGTTTCGTTTGGTCGCACTAATTTTCGAAGACTTGATTGTCAGATCTTGTCATTGACATTCTTCGAAAGTCTGGTTGCCCGTGAAGTGTTAAATTAAGCAAATACGTTTTCTCAACTTGTATAGCAATGTAGGAATCTATCGTTTACAGTCCTATTTTGGCTACAATCATCGTGTGCCCGCGACCATCGCGACTAAATCCAAACGAAAGGCGTAAAGCTAAATTCTGCTTCTCTTTTGCTATTTTAATGGCGACTGTTTGCCAATGGCGATGAAACTATAATTGTGAGTATATAATCATTGTAAGATGTTTTCACCACGCTTAGATTTTTCACGTCAGTTTCAAAAAAGTACCCCAGAAATGGCGAATTTGGCCTTCGTGAGAAAGGCTAATTGTCTTGGGCTAAGTGATCGACCATAACGAACAACATAGAATATGTACTCAGACATTGACAATTATATAAGCTCCCTTCCGGTTAGTTTGCAGTGTATGTCTACAGTGGAAATTTTTACATTTGCTTTTTGAGACGAACTTAAATTTCCCGGCGGTTATTTCATCTCAATTCCTACCAGGAATCTGGTTATATTTGACTAGGATATCCCTGTTGAAATAACCATACTATGCTAGGTGGATAAATGACCAGGATTCCCTGGTCATTTATCCACTGGGAAATTTAATCAGGACTATAAGTTAGGACCGCTCATTATTTATTGTACAGGGGGGGACTGAGGAGAAACTCTACAGATGTAATATTTTTTCGTTGCCCTCCTCTTAAGACAAGTAAAATTTTCAAAGCCCCCCCCCCAACAGGCAAAACAAGAACATAAATTCCCCCCCCCCTCTAGCTCTTTATCTTTATTTACAGAAACAAAAACTCTAGCTGTTTATTTTAGAGAAAGAAAAATAGGTAATGGGGACCAATAGACATTCCCATTATAGACTAATTTTTTATCTTAGCAAAAAAAGTATATTCCCGGGAAGGGCATACTAAAATTACTAAAATTCCAAAGTTTGGTTGCAAAATGTTGTAAAATATGTAGAAAATATAGCCTTCCAAAGTTTGTAAATTTTGTATTCTTTTGTATAATTGCAATTTTCGTATGCAATACAAAAGTGTACAAAATTTGCAAACTTTGCAAGGCTATATTTTCCGTATTTTGCAACAATTCGCAACCAAACTTTGCAATAATTTACTTATTTTAGTATGCTCTTTCTAGCTGTGGTGATTTATTTGCATCAAGGCCGGATTTTGAGGGAAGTGTGGAGAGGTGCGCACCTCCCCAGAGATCGTTTTGCACCTCCCCCGAGAATTTTTCCACCTCTCTTGAAAGGTCATGCACTTCCCCTTGGGAAAGTTTCAATGATGGAACAAAGTGAAAATGTGATGGTTGCTTAGGATCTACACTTTGTGACGTAAGAAAGTTTTCTCTGTAAAATTGAAACAGTGATAGCCATGTCAAGCACCCTTTTAATGCAATGTTTTGAAAGAAACAGTGTAGCAATTGTAATGAAGGGCAAGATTGGAGTCATACATTCATAATTCATTAATACACTGGTACATATTATGTACACTACATGCATACCTCACCCTCATTGATATTG